CCCGGCTTTTTCATTGTAAATGAATGTGACTTGTATGTATTCTGTATTGTATTCCACAGGGCAAATCACATTTTTGGGCAAGTTTCAGGAAGTGTGGTAGCACAGGGCGCTTTGCCTAGGGTGTCAGACACACGACCCATGGATGTCATACTTGTGTTTTCTAGACCATCCCAGTGGACTCATTTCCAGTCGCACTTACCCTGAGAGATAAGCTTCTTGTAAACCCAGATCATTTTCTGAAGATGGGACACCAAAGGAATGTGGTGCGATAAATAGATCTGCGCTAACTTTTGAAGAGCTAACCGATCCACGGCGTCCGCCTCCGCTACCCTTGAAAACCTTTAGCCTAGAGTTTTCAAGTAGTTTCCGGGTTCGTTAAAGGACGATTAAGGGGAACTTCGAACTTTTTCTTCGACTTCAAACGAATTCGTGTCCCTAACTTCCTCGATAATCATGAACAACTCACGAAGTCTCCCACAGCTAGCTGATCCATTCGTTTCTGTCCGGTGACGGTGGTAACGACGGCCTCAGCTGGGAAGCAGTTCATTTTCTTCAACTGAGCAGCGGCCTTTGCAGCAGGCCCCGGATCAGCGGCTGCGTCCGCCTCAGCTATAAATAATTTTTTAGAGTATGGTTCGAGCGACCAACTCAGCGCTATAAATGCCAAATGGGTGGAAAATGCGCTCACGTTGTCTGTCAGGTGCTGGCCCAGGATCTGCTCCTGCACCAGAACCACCACCACCACCAGCAGCAGCGCCGGAATCTCCAGTTGCTGCAAAATTGGCGGCTGCTGCGGCACGAGCTCCCGCGGCTCTTGCAGTGGTGGATGCGGCTCGTGACATGGGCTTCTTGGTGGTTGCTTTAGTTGTCGGTTTGTTTTAGGTTTGCTACTTGAAGCTGGACCTGGCGCAGACTTCTTAGCACCAACGGCAGCTCCACCAGCAGGATGCGGCCTTCGTCGCAGACTCTCCAGCGCTTTCCGTGCCCGCGCGAGCAGAACTCGGCCCAGCGCCGGCAGCCTTTGGCACCTGACTTCTTTGCCAGCGGGCCAGTTGTAAGCAGGGCATCAGTTCCTTCACCGGCTGCCCTGCTGGCTCCTGCTCCTCCTGTAATTGTACGAGCAGTTGTGGTGCCTGCTCCTCCACCCGCAGGAGACGCGACGAATTGGTCGGTTGTGAAGAGGTCAGGTGTGCTCAATCCGTCGTCGTCGGTCCATTTCACCCCTTCCGATGTTCTGTCACTCGTCCCTTTGCCTCCATCGAGAGTGGTTTTCAGTCCAGTGCCATCTTCTGGTGTCGAAGCTCCAGTGGAACTAAATAGTTAAGTTGTTCAGTAGAAATGGATTTGAAAAGGAGTAATTCAATTGAATTCTTGTGGAGAAGGCACTAACTCGGTGGTTCCTTTGGTTGACCCGTCACCTCCAGCAGCTCCAGACGGGTCTTCTGTGACTTCTTGTCGACTTTGAATTTTCCCACGGCTGAAAAACATGCCAAATGAGCAGAGCGGCGTTAGAGAAAGGAGTTTGCAATAGTCAGGTAGCTTTGCGAACGAAATTCAAAAGGCCAACCCGCTCTGCCCGTCTTTCCCATCAGCTCCCAAGCCTTCACCATCCGGGAGACCACTTTTGCCATCAGCGCCGTCTCCTCCTCGACCTACAAACATATCTATTGGAATGGAATATCCTTGAGAATGATAATCAAAAACGCACCTCCTTTGGCACCAGCATCGGGGCCACTTGAAGCGTCTGTACCGTTTCCACCGCTTCCACCGCTTCCATCGCTTCCACCGCTCTTCCATCGCTTCCACCGCTTCCACCGCTTCCACCATCCCCATCACCTTCGTGCGCGGCTTCGTTTTTCCGATCATTTCCATGCTCTTTTCCAGATGCTCCATCCTTTCCATCGGTCACTTGCTCCTTTACCTCCACCGCCACCAGCTTTGCCACTCGTCCCATCTTCTCCAGCTTTACCGGAACCTCCATGCTTGCCACCGGCTTGTCCTGCTTTGCCGCCGGCTCCTCCCGCTCCAGCTCCACCGTCTCCATCTCCTCCATCACCAGTGCCTTTATCTCGGCCTTTGTCAGCACCGTTCTCCTCCGGATCCACCTGATCCTCCTTCTGCTCCCATCTTTGCCTGCGCCTTTTCCTCCGGCTCCTCCATCACCTCCGTCTCCTGCGCCTTTGCTCGGTTCTCCACCATCTCCTGCCTTCTTACTTGGCTTTCCATCGCCTCCAGAGGCACCACCGTCTCCATCGTTTTTACCGGCGCTTTCTTTGCCTCCTTTTCCAGAGTCGCTACCATCGCCTCCGCTGGAGCCATCTCCACCTGAAATTGATAATTTATGAATTTTCAGATTTAGTTTTTGTTTAAAATTATTTCCACACCCGATTAAAATTACCTTTGCCTTTTCCTTTGCTTCCATCCTTTCCTTGACCGGAGTCGCCTTTTCCTGCTCCTCCGCGCCCATCCTTTCCACCTCTTGTGCCGGAACCTCCGTCTCCAGCGCCATCGTCTCCGTCTCCGTCAGTCCCAGCGCCACCCTTCCCGTCGCCTCCATCTCCTCCATCTCCACCTTTGCCATTTCCTTTTCCACCTGATCCATCAGCATCTTTTCCTCCTTTCCCTTTGCCTGTCACTTTTCCTTTCGAACGGTCCTTTCCTAGCTTGCCAGCTCCTCCATCACCACGTCCATTGTCCTGAAAAAAGAATTGTCGACTATATTGAAGGGAGCCATTGAGAAGTAACGTACCTCGCCTTCACCTCCAGAATCGCCATCACCTTCATCGCCTTTTCCGTCCCGTGCTCCATGCTTTCCTTCTTTGCCGTGTTTTCCTCGCTTTCCTCCTCGTCCTCCACGCTCTCCGCTGTCTCCGTTTCCGTCGTCTCCATCTGCATCATCTGGTTTCCCATGCCGATTTTGTGTCCTGGTGCCCTTTTTGCTGTCAACGTCGCCAGAATCCTCACCGTCTGTAAACTCCAGGTATCAAAATTATTACCTAACTTTTCATTGATTAAATTTATGCATGGAATTGATTCAATTGCGGTTTTACCTCCTTTTCGGTGCCTCCCGCGTCCACCTCTACCGCTGCTATCGCCGTCTTCACCTCCTCTTCCTGATCCAGTGCTGGAGCCTTCGGCGTTCGGTAGCCCTCCTTGCTGAAAAGCCATGTAGTTAATGTCATATATTTCTTGCAACATTGTTTCCTTACAAATCCTTCAGTGAAATGGTTTCAGGATTAGGCAAAATCAGACAAGGAAGAAGTTATTGCTAATTCTGAACCGAAGTCGTTACGCCGATTTCTCGTCCCAATTAAAAAGGTGTCCCTTTTAACTT